GGGCAGTGCTTTCGTGGCCTGCAGCAACCGCCTGAAATGCACCAAAGCTGTCGGTTCTCTTCCGCCTTTTCCGCTTCTCCCGCGTGACTGACTCGCTGGCACTTCATGCTTCATTCTTCCCCTTGCGGGCAGTTGGTGCTGCGGGAATGATTGGCCGCCTGTCTCTTCGCTTTGTTCAATGCTTCCCTCCTGTGGGAAGCCCTGTCACAAAATGGTATCTTGCAGTCAGGCGTTCGATCAGCCAGCGTTGACCACCCCGTCTGCTACGCATTGGTCAGGTACAGCCTCACGTCTCGTTCAGTAGTCGACAGCCTACCATGTAACCAAGTACAGCCTTGCGACCTTGCGTAACCGTTCGGAAGATGCTCCCTTCTGGTCGATCACTAGAAGTCCCACTATGTCATCTGTGCACTTGCAACTAGCGACGATTCTCCCGCCACAGCAATCTGATCGCCGTGCCCACCATCTAGTGCGATTCAGATTCTCTTGACCAGCGTCGCAGGTCGAAGTTGAATGCGACTTTTATTGTCGCCTCTATTCTCGCCAGCCCGAGCCAACTCGCTGGCTTGAGAGGGAGATATCGGACTCTGCCGCGCTGCCCAGCCATATCTTCACATCTCAAGCAACTGAGCCACCATGAGGTCGACCAGAAGTGCCCCGACTTCTGTTCCCAGGAGACGAGACAGTCGTAGTAGGCAAGGAGCTTCGGGTGAACAAAAAGGAGGTTGATGTCGTGTTAGAGGCAATTTTACTGGGGATGACGGTTGCTGCTCTTTCCCCGCGATTGAGGCAGAGGGCGATTGCAGGGTGCAGCTGCTCTTTCCTGAAGATGGCCGTCGACAACTTCTGCGGTCGGCTTTTGTCGCCATCTCATCCTTGTACCATATCTCCCAGCCTGCAATTTTGGATATATCCAGTATGACCGACTGCGTCTATCGCAATAGAAGAGGGGGCGATGCTTTTGCTATGGTTGCTGCGAGGCATGCGATGACCTCTTCGGAAGTTGGATCTGAAAACTATGGAGCTCTACCCTCGTCGTATCGTCGAGTCCGGAAGTCGAAATCCCTCGTGGCGTTTCCCAATGGCAATCTTCGTCTGCGTCTTCAGCGCTCCCTTCCTTTCCTACGCCGCCAGAGCAACACCACGCTTTACAAAGGCTCAGACGGTGCTTGGGAGCGACATGAAGAGGCAGTTGAGCTGGCTCGGGCACAGTTCCTCGATAGCGCTGGCCATGCAGACCTGCAACAGACAGAACTGTGCACACCTCGCAAAGGGAAGAGGAGAACGCAGCACAAATTCCGAAAGACAGTTCGGGCCAGCGCGTGCCTCGAGGCTGAGCATCCGGAGACCACAGCCACGAGATCTTTTTCGCTTAGTCTTCGCGATCGAGTCCGCAGGGTGCTTGGGAAGTCGCTGAGTAAGAAAGACAATTTGCCTCCTCAACATTTGGAAGCCCAGCGCAACCACTTCTCCGAGTTTGACAAGGAGTCTACGCTTGTCAGCGGGTTCGACGCATATCAAATCGTGGACGACGGCCTCACTCCGCAGCGAAGCGTTTACTCTCAGCCTATTCTCGAACATGAATCGCTTGAAGGTTTAGACAAGGTGCCGTACGCGGTACATTCCGCTGCAAGTCGTGAAAGCCTCCATTCCAATGCTCGATCTCGAGTCACCAGCTGGACCAATTCCAGCATAACAGGCTCGATTGGTATGCGGTCTGGTCCTATCGAGCGCAATCGACTCTCGATCATCAAAGAAGATGGAGGTCCTCATCAACCCTCGTCATCCGCTGGGAAACACATTGGCGGGGTCGACGTTTTCCACGAGCCATTGCAGTCAATCACGAATAACGCCCGGACTATGCCGGCAGTGGATAGTCAGCGAATCTATTCAGCATTGATCAAACGAATCAACCAGGAAGAGATTGAAATCGAGAGGACAAGAGTTGCCCTGGAAGGCATCAATCATGGGTACGAGGCGAACAGCACAGAAATCTCGGACGTGAAACCTACCATCAGAACGGTTCAGAGTGATTCTTCGCTGACTACAATGACTGGGAATATTCTGAACCCCCTGTCCAGCAGCCAATCTGGCTCGTGGCATCACTCTGCTAGCGCGAGGACGGATGAGCCACATCAGGAGAATGCCGACATAAGATGGGAACGACTGGCGGAACAAGAGTCACAGTCGACCTTCTTTCCTTTCTCGAGCGAAAAGAACCCGAACACCCCAAGTCCTTTCAAGAGGTTCTTAAATGAGAGGCGTCGTCGCAGCAGCCGCAGCAGCAATGGCCGCGGCAAACACGCAGACTCGGATAACAGCAGCGTCACCATCAATCGCCAGTCGAGCAATCCCGTAATGAACCGCCCTCATTTCGGTTTGAGCAGTGCCAGTATCTACTCCCGGACAACGAACGGCGGATCCAATGAACAGTATCAGCGGCCTTTTGAGAGCTCGGACGAGCTGCGTACAAAAGCTCCCGAAAAGTTGGAAACAAATGGCATGGCAACCATTCTGGCTACATCATTTGCTCCATCTACGAATAATCAATGGAATCCTTGGTCAGATACCGTGAAAAAGCACGAGCACACCACAGATAGCTTTTCCAGTTCACACACACGGGAAAGAGCTCAGATCGCCTCGGCCGAGGAGGCTGGAGATGACGGAGAGGGTGCCTCGAGCCAACTGGTAAGGTCAGCGGGTACCTGTACCGAGACGAGAGGATATGGCCTGTCGAATGTTGTCGTTGCTTCAGGATCAAGGGGCCCGAAGGTGCACAATGGAATTGTTTCCGTCCGAGCTCATGCCGATCTGCTCAAAAGGGCCAGCACCGACGCCTTGAGCAGCATTTCCAACAACGCCGAGGACGGTAGCAAAGGCAGCGGAAGTCTACGAAAACTGAGTCCTGGGAACTTAGTGAAGCTCTTCAGGGAGAAGAGGAGCCAGAGGACGCTTGGGCCTCAAAGTGCTGGCAAAGAAAACAGTCCGCCGATCCAATCGGACTCTCCACCAGTGAGTACGCCGGGAAGGCTGCAACTGCAATTCCGGGATGGTACCACGAGCGGACGAGTCCGCAAGAGAGCCAGTGAAGGCGTGTTCCAACCCGCAAATCTCTATTCTACACCCCATCGGTCTATCTCAACCACGCCGAGCAGGTCGTATGAAAGTCCAAGCGAGAATGCCAAAGATCACCTGGTCGCACGACTGAGCAGGCCTTTTAACATGGATGTGCCTCCCCACAACCGTCCGTTTGACAGCATGTACCTGGGCAAGAGGACGCAAGGTCATCCGGACACGTTTGGAAATAACAGGTTGAGTGTAGCACCTAGAATCACATTGGACGGAGCCGGCCAGGAGTTGGAGACTGGCCTAGGAGACGGGAATGAAGGGGCAACGGCACTACCATCGCGGTCCTACTCTGTGGGGAAGAGTGCAGCCAAAGTGCTGGGGCTCCTGGGCAGCAAGAGAATGGTCAGCAATTTTCTGAGAAGTCGACGGGGAGAGAGAAGTACAAGTGCAGGTGAGCATATTTTGGGTGAGGGAAGTCCAGCATTCATTTGAACCATCACACGGCATAGATGGCTCGAGTCAGACCAGCATTGTTGGAGGCGACCGGGAGTGTCTTTGGTCAGCTGCTTGCTAGTGATGTTAATATGATAAGAAACAGCATTGAATCCAGCTTCAGAAAGCCACCAGGGTCAGGAATACGAGCGTTGCAAGAACTATTCATACTTCAGCGCCATCAGTAGGGTCGAGACAATTCGAGTGTTCAAAAGGCCCGTTGACCACATTTGCCCTAGGATACGCGTACTCTCGACTATGGCTATCGGAACCATGAGCACGGAACATGTCCCAGTCGGCTCATATCTTCTACAATGTTACAATGTGTGCAGGGACATGGTCACAGGGGAGGGGGTGAGCACGTGACGTGGTGCGGAAGCGCAGCCTCGCATGCGCCCTGCAAGTCCAACACTCAACATGGCACCTTGAAACAACAAACCTCTTATTCGACTGTGTTGTTTTCCTCTCAGACCACGGTAAGTTTTTTCCCGCATGCCCAATCATCGGGTCTGGCCAGTCCACAATATATTACGCGTGAAGTTTGTACAGCCGTTGACCCACTTGTTTACGGTACCGTCCACCCGCTCCTCGTATTTGAGACCCGGCGTCGTCCTGTTTGGGTTTCGACATCCTCAGCTGCTCCTCAAGTTCGAGTTCCACGCGTCCCAACTGCTCAACGGCCTACTGGGCCTCCGCCGCTGGGAGGTTCTGACAGATATTCCTGATGGAGGGACCATCTCTGGGGCCCTTTTGAGCCAGCATTCGACGGAGACGCCCCTCGATTGACTCCCCCAGCGCAGCAAAACCACCTTTCCTTACAAATTCTTGTACGAATCCACCGCGGGCCTCGTTTAATACAACCTCGTCTCTGTCTCGGTCTCGATGATCGACTTGAGCACTGTGTGCGGACCCAGGTATGAAGAAGGGGTCACTCGCGAGTGGAATTGGTATTCGCCACCACCACAACAACACTGAACTGACTGGAGGACGCCTCCGAACCAGCAGCCTTCCCCATGGCTAACCCCTTTACAAATTCCCCGCGAGGTGGACGCCTTGCGAGAAATACCGCTGTGGATGATGCTGGAAAGGTTGCCCTTGCTTGCTTACTTGCTTGTATACAACCTACGAGGGGGGACGTGACTCCACAGAATCAACTATGATGGTCGTCTCCATTGAAGAAGAGGAGTCTACTGGTGAAGGAGTTGTATCGGTCCACCTTGTGAACCACTGGAACCATTGCAGTGTTATTGTCAACAACATCAACAACCGTGATGGAGCACGCTCGAGGCAACTCATACAAAAGGGGACTGTGCCGCCCGCCGTGCTCACCTTCTTTCTCCTTTTCTTCTCTCCAGGTAACCCCGCCCCCCATTAGTGTGTGTGTGTGTGTATTGAGAAAGCTTACAGTGTACAGACTACAGACTTACAGATTATCAACAATGGCAAAGGAGTTCGTCTCTCAGCCATCATCAGCATCTTCCGGCAGTTTCGACCTGAGGAGGTCACTGAGGGCTACCAGGTCTCGACCTTGGTTGGTCAACAGCGTCCTCCGTGGACGGTCAACGGCCGCTACCGGGGTCAAGGATTGTGAGGATGCCCCCTCATTGTCGGCGACCACCACTGTGACAATTGTTTCGGACCCCGCGCCGACCGCTACGGCCTCGTGTCGATCGGAGAAGCAATCGTCGGACGACAAGACAGCCGCGGAGGCGAAGGCAGCGACTTCGGTCAAAGCCCCAGCCAAAGCAAAGGCCATGGGATCTCTGATCCCCGTACCGGTCACACCGGTCCTTAATGGCATGTTGTCGTCGTCTCGGCTTTGTGGATCCACCACACCCGGCAAGGAAGACGATGTCGGAAAGGACAAGACAACCGCCACGTCTCGCACCGTCACAGGGGAGACGGCCTCGGCGCCACGGCTCCCGGTTCGCATCAAGGCTTCACTCGTTGGGCCCCGGCCTGCTCCTGAGCAGGTACGACTTGACAAGCCCCTTGTTGCTTACGCTGGGCGCCCGGTTGACAAGGAGGCCGGCAAAAAGAGAGGGACGGAGGGTATTGGCGGAGGAGGTTTCCGCCCAATTGTTCGACGACCAGAGGCAATGTCGATCCAGCGTTGCATCAACTCGGAGCCAATCAGGAGTACTCGGTTCGACCGCCCGGTCAAATCGATCTTGAAGCACCACATTGATCTCGTTGGGGAGACGGAGCCTACTACACCAAATTCTGCCGGCCATGGAGTGACATCTGGTGCCCCGGATCAGAAGAAGAGTGTGACATTTGCCCCGTCGCTGTTAATCACACCGGCCCGCTGTTGGCCAAAGCACATCGTCCCGGAGTGGCGTTGTCGTCAGTGTGATAGCTGTGGGCATTTGTCGTGGTGTCGCGAACTGGAGGGTGCGAAGCTTGGGTTGCAGGCTTCTGACGTCTGGCTGGAGGATCAGCTGATCCGAGGCCACGACTACTTGAAGCAGTCAGGAGGTTATCTCAGCAAGCACGGTTCTCATGCTCCCACGGCACTATGGAGTTTTTGAGATTTGAGTGGCCTCCAAGAGTGTTGATGGACATTTGACGTGGGCGTCTTACTGGCTCAGGAATTCTTTTCCATACACGTCGTTCACTTCACACTTTGCTTCAGACAGTTGTTCTGTCAACTCTGTGGGCTCTGAGGGATTTTTTTTCATAGCAATGGCTGCAGATCAGTTTGAGGCGTTCGGTGGGGCTATCACTGATTGAAGATGCTGTCTGTTTTCAGTCGTGGAGGTTTTCCGGGACGCTGGAGGCTTCTCACCTTTGGTTGCTTGGTGTGTGTTGGTTGGATCGAGGAATGCGCAGGAGCAGGACCTGGACAAGGGTATGTGACGACCTCGTTGAGCAACCGAGCACAGATGTTTTTTCAGAGTCAACTTGTGAAACCTCAGAAAAAAGAAAAAGGTGATTGAGGACGCTCGTGAACCACCAAAAAAGCTTGGGAAAAATCAGAAAATCATACTCAAATTAGATAGTTGCTTCTTGGCTGTTTGTTTTTTGTTAGATACAAGCTCTGTGCTCAGCTTTGATGGTTGCTCAACGAGGGTGGTTGATCGTCACTTTGGAGGATTCACATCAAAAAGGACAAGTCACAGATGGCCATTCAGTCGAAGGGTTCAGATAGGGCACACAGTTGTGTGTGTCGAAACAGGGTTCTGGATACCTCGGATGGTTTTGGTGATACATTTTGGCATGGCACCTTGGTGGAGGGGTGCAGAGTGTTGGAGTTGGGCTGGCAGCACTTTCAGGGTTGTGGTTGATGGTTGTGTGTTTTCTTGCGTGTATTGGTGTGTGTGTGTGTGTTCTGGTCACTTACGGTTGTGGTGTTTGTATGATCTTTGTGTGTGGTGTGGTATATGTTGTTGTGAGAGCATTTCTGATTTGCTGTATGCTGTGGTTGATGGAGGATGGAGGTGACATGGATCCGAACAAGACTTGGAAGGCCAGGCCAGGTCAGGTCAGGCTGGTATATGGGATGTGGGATATGCGATATGCGATATGCGATATGCGATATGCGTCATGAGACATGAGACATGAGGTGAGACATGCGACTTTGGTTGAGTGGAGGAGGAGTTTTTGAGAATGTTCACTTGTACTCGGTTGGTATGAGAACTCGGTATGAGAACTCGGTGTGTGCGCGTGCAGACAGGCAGAGAAGGAAGGAGTCGACAGATCGATTTGGCGGCAGCGAAGGGGGAGAGGGGGAGGGGGCGAGGAATCTACCACTTAATACTTACTGTACTTACGAAGAAGAAAGGATATGGAACCATGTATGATATATTGTGATATGTGATGTGTTGTATGTGATGTGTTGTGTATCTACAGCCACTGAATCAAACCACGTACCGCAGACTCCCTATAGACCTACCTACATGTACTTCTTCTACTCCTTTGGAAAAAAGACAGCGGGTACGTGTCTATCTATGTAAGCTCATATTGACTAGTTGACTGAGTGATTTGACTAACTACCTAGAAACCGAGCAGCCAGGGACTGACTGTATTGACTTGACTTGAATTGACTGCCAACGATACAGGACTGGACTCGAACTGAAATGAACTGAACTATACCGTACGGGAACTGGAACTCGAACTGAACCGACTGAATTGAGCTCAACTGACCGACCGTACGGAGCGTAGCAGGAAAGAATCAAAAATCCCTAGACGCAAAAGCAATTTGCAAAAGCAGTAAGACAAACCAAAAAAATCCGTCTTGAACAACCCATTCTGCCTGTCTGCATTTTGTTCCTCGCTCGATGTTGCTTTTGGCTGTCCTTCTGTCCTCGTTTTTTTTTGATCCTCTCTTCTTTTCCCCTCCATTGTATATGGCCAAAAAAAAAACATGGGAAAAGGAAGCGTAGCGCACCGCAGTATCAGAGACTGTTGCTCAATCGCTCGCTGGATAGCTCAACCAGCTCGCAAAGAACTTTGTGAAGAAAGGATCGCAGTCCAGACTCGTACACACTGTAAAAAGTATGCCACATGCCACTTGGCCTCTTTTCGCCCCCCCGGCAGTATTCGTCTTGCCGATCGATGCTGGCACCACTTCAAGGCTGGCTGTGTATGTATTTCCATTCTCCCAGACCGAAATGATGAAGCCCCTACCGTGCCATTTCCCCCTCTAACATGTCCGCATAGATCTCCAGCGCACTGCCAATCATGTCCACAATCGCCCAGCTCGTATTCCCCTTGAACGTCTTGCTCCATACCCTTACCACCGCCACGCTCAATTGCCGCATCTTCTGTGTGTCATCCAACAACTCCCTAGACTCATTCAGCACAGTATGGTCATTTGCATCTCCGTTCAATGGCACCGTCATCTCCGTTTCGTCGAGGAGAGACCGGACCCAGAGAAGAAGCTTTCTTTCGTGCTCAGTGACAGGGGCACCGCCTGTGCTCTTCAGGTTGGACAGAACATAGAGCCACTTGCTAAGGAGGAACGCGCATTCCAGACTGCACAACGAATGCTGAATGGACCAGAAGAAGGTTTGCGTGCGTGCAACAAAATCTATCCCCAGTCGCACAGGGATGGAAAGTGCATGAGCAGAGTGTAAGAGGGCGGGCGTCAGCCGAGGGTCACGGCGGAGGTCTGGCGTATTGAACAGAGATGTGGCAATCTGCACGGCATCGCGCGTCTCAAGATGGCGGAGTGGACCCATGTCGACATGTAGACGAATGTATGCAAGACCCAAAAGAGCGGTCGAGGTAAACGCAACTGGTCCGTTGGGATTCTGAGGATCGAGACTCGACTCGGGTGCCCGTTTCCACCCGGCTTTCCAGGACGAGAGCCCCATGTCGAGGACAGTAATGTCTTCCATGCGCAGACTTGACCCTGCTACGCCGGGCCAGGCTAGCGAAAGCTGTCGAGCAAAGAAAATCTGCTGAATGAGAGCGTGGACCAGGATGTAGTTGCCTAGTGGGGAAATAGGAGTTGCCGTGGCTTGGTTCTGTTTGTTGAACAGCCGAGAGAACGCGGTCTGGAAAGGCATCTGCGGTGCTGAGTTTGCTTGTCGCAATTTCTTCCACTGTTCCGCGCTGGTGGCTTTCCACTCGTTGGCAGGATCGGGCAAGTTGAGCTTGATTTCCGAGTTGAGGATGAGCGGAGGCACATTCCATGTGATTGAATGCAGATTAAAGAAGCAGTAGACGATGAGCTTGGTCCGCTTCTCGCCCTCGATTTTGATCCAGTCCTCCCAAGTCAGCTCCTCCGGCGACTGCATGATTTCCGGACTCGTCAGGCCGGCTTCTCGGACAAGCCGTGCTAGAATGCTCTGAAAGGCCAAAGCCTCACGCAGCAGCTCAGTATGCCTCTCCCATGTAGCAAAGGCAGTCAGCAGCAGGAGCGCTTGTATCGAGTCCATTTGCTCTTTGCTATCGGCAGGAAGTGCGTCTTCGGGAGAAATGTGTTGGAATGGACTGCTCGAATGGCTTTTGTTGGTGAAGCCTCCTCCTGGCGACTGAGCCATCGACCCTGTCCGAGGTCGGTTCCACAAGTGAGTCGTCGAGGACTCGTCACGCCGTCTGATTTGTTCCAACACGACGGCTTTTGCGGCATAGAATAGTTCGATCCCTCGGCTATTCTCAAATCGGTATTGGGCACCCACGGCGGCCAGGGCTAGAACAAGCTCCGGAGCACTACCTGCAACTTGGAGAGATGGCACGTGAATAAAGGGAAGGTGTTCGTGGAAGCCATTGACATAACCCGCCAGGTATCTCGAAAGCGAATGCCTTGAAGGAGGTATGAAGCCTTTGGGCATGACATTGTCGAATGCGGCAAGCTTGGAGGCAAATATGGATCGATCTGTATCTGAGACATCCCAGGTTGTCCTGACCACTTTGGCCTCGGCTTCTTCGACCGTACTTCGAGGAGGGTCTGGCCGAGTGAAGTCAGAATCTTTGGATTCTGGTTGAAGGGACGGAAGTCTTGATCCAAATCGTGAAAATGTACTCGTCTCTTCTTGAGGAACACCAAGCTTGCTATCGGTAGGATGCTCACCGTTCAATTGAGGCCTCGATATATTCAAGTGATCGCCTCTCAACTCGGTGGGGGAGTTGTACGCATCAACCTGATCATTGCCAAACATATTTGCATACCACTCGGACGAAAGGCCGACACTGTCGAGGAAGACGGTGAAGTCTTGCATGGGATCGCCGAGGTCGGGAGGTTCGAACATGGGCGTCGACTGCCCATATCCTTCGGTCAGCATTCTCGGCTGGTATTGCCCCTCGGTCACTGCCGGCATGATCTGTTGCAAGGGCTCGTTGAGCTGTTCTTGCGTGACTTGCGGCAAGCCGGACATGTAGTGATCCTGACCACTGGACGCGACATGGCTGGCCGCGTGAGAGAGAAGGTTCAAGTCGTAGCCCCAGGACGGATCGAGTGACGGCGCGTTGATCACAGACGACTGGTGCGCCGACATGCCATCGACCGAGTTGATGCCATTGGAGGGTTGCATGAGCTGCGGATCCAGCATGTCCATCATCCCTCTCCCATCGTGCGCACCTTGATGGGGGGAGAGCAAGGCCTGATTCTGCTGTGGCGCGATGTCCATGGGGTCGGAATGATTCGAAGCTCCATGCTGCGCCTGCACCCGGGCTGCGGCCTCCTTTGCCGCGTTGGCATTTTGAATGTGGTGTTTGTGTGACTTCCGCGTGGTATGCTGCTCTTCCTCGCCCGGGTGGACGAGCCTCTCGTGGCGCACCAGCAGGTCACTGCGTGCAAAGGTCTTGGAGCAAATATCGCAGACGAAGGGTTTCTCTTTGGTATGGGTGCGAATGTGTCGTTGAAGATGTTCCTGGTTCCAACAAATTTTCTCGTTAGTCGTCTTGTAGCTGGATAGCCGGTTGATCTCAATGCGAGCTGAAGTGCTGGAATTGAGCAGGACTTACTAGACGAGCAAAGAGTCGCTGACAGTGCGGGCACGGCAGCGTCTTGATCTTATTGCCCGACTGCTTTCTCTTGACTCTGCCGCCGCCGCCAACTGACTGTGTTGTGTCCATAGCTCCT